AATTATGAAGACCAGATAGCACCGGATCCGTCTGATCCTCTGCATGACTTGTTGGATGATTTGGGCCCGGCACCAACCGTGGCGTCGTTGCTCGGGATTTCCAAAGCGACGTACGATGCAAATTTGGCGCGATACAGTAAGCAGGAGGTGTGCCTGGTGTTGACCAACAAGTTCCAGGTGCCGCGAAATGACGACACGAATCTGAGCAATCTCTTCGTGAAGGCGAAGGAATTACTCGTGTCGGTTATCCCGTTCTTAAAGAAGCCGACTCTCGTGGAGTCCTTGGAGGCCACATCTTCTCCGATGAGCGTGAAACTGTTCGATTATTCGTCCGTGTCGCCAACGGTACGCGAGAGTTCGTCCATAAACGACTGCAAGATGCAATTGCGCGCGTACCTTAACAAGCTCGAGCTCGAGGGATGGGTCAGTCGCGCGGACGGTTATCAAACGATCGTGACGGCGATAGCAAGGGATATTTGCAACAAGAGCAAGTATCGCGTCGCGAGGGACAAGGAGTTGCAGGGGCTGCGGGCGACCAAGGTGCGATTGGACGAGAAGACGCGGTACTACGAGGAGCAGGTCGGATTCTACAACGAGTACATAAAGGGCTGCCTCCAGAATCTGCACAGGGGAAAGAGCTCGCTTCGCGCGTATCAGGCGACGCAGAAGGACATGTACACGCAGTGCAAACTGCGATCCAAGATGACGGTGAAGTATTCCGCGTGGAAGTTGCAGGAGAAGGGCGTGCTGATGGAGGTCGATCAGGCGTTGAGCCCGACGGAGATGAAGAACGTCATCTTCGAGATAAGCCCGACGGAGCACAGCGGCGTATTTTCTGTACGCTGCAAATTCATGGGCGTCGAGCTGGAGAAGCTCGACATCAGCATACAGGAGCTGCTCGAGCTGCAGTACGAGGGCAGACCCTGCATGGACATGTTCGGTAGGGCGAAGATCAATGTGAACCTGCTCCTGTACCTGCTGAATCGGAAGTTTTACGGCAAAAAGAGTTGAAGGAACCATTGTCTCAAAGTTCTTCCAACGGAATTCGGAACGGCGGAATCGATTCACGCGTGTTACATGTGCAATTCATTGCTAGCACAACGTGTTCAGAGCGCAAACTTGATATTTTATCACCGCGACGAGTATCGATGATTTATTACGAGTTTTTTTTTTTTCGTATTTTCGAGGTCGTTTTCGAGAATATTGATACATTTTGATATGCAAAACTGTGCGTAACATGAAGTAGGGAGAAATTCGTGAAGATTTCACTTTTCCGTCGGGGATTAAGCGAACCAGTTGTCTCATCCTCGATGACGCAAGTGCAGTTATTTACACGTGCGTCGTATACAAAAGGTCTGTTTTTTTTCTGACTGCAAGGTATTTTCTTTCAACTTTACTCTCTCCTCCTTTCCTCCTCCTTTCTCTTCTCTTCACTTCACTTTCTCCTCTTTTCACTTTCTCTTGTTTACTTTCTCGCGTAATTATGTATATATTTACTTCACTTTTTGGGCAAAGAAAAAGTAGCCGGCAACAGGCCAAAAAAAGAACAGAACCAAAATTTAAGTTTTTCCTCTACTTCAATGCGTCTTAAATCACAATTAAGAGTATTCTGCGATCTATTTTTAGGTACGTTTTAATTATCAAAAGTTATTCGTTAACTTGAGGTATAGCAGATCAATAATGCTTTATTATATGTCTTTTCAACAATCCGGAAGATACGATACATCACATCGACTTGTCACTAGTTTTACTGACGTAACATTCTTTTTTTAAATAATTAAGTTATTTTTAATAATTAAGTTATTCACAAGCATTATACTAACACGACGAACTGTCGCCTCCCAGTAATACGTTTAACAATCCCATTTATTACAGCAATCTATCTAGTCTACGATACAGCATGCGTTTTGTAAATAATCGTGTTCGCGAATATTTGAAGTATCCAACGAATGCAACAATTATCGCTTGACATCACAATTAATATGGATATGACGAGTCTGCGAATTTATTCGGTTCATGATCTATATATGCGGACTTCGAAGTGTGGATGTAAATTAGTACTAAGTTAATAATAGAATGGAATAAGGAAGCTTCGACTGACACATTGTAATATACAGTTTCGTCACTTTCGTACAAATCGTCAATTTTACTAAATTTTAATAAAATTTCTATCTGCAACTTTAAACGTGTTTCGTTTTCAATTTTATTGCGTGTTCTTATACAAACCTTTATTAAATTATTAACTATAAAAGAAATAAGAGGTTAACAATAAAAAAGCCATAGAATATTTGAAGATCTCGATAATTGTATCAATTGGTTTGCTGGGAGGAGAATTGTTGATAGCTTTAAATATCCGAGATCAAATCCATTACTTATTTTATTTTGTCATTTTATTTTGTCATATCCTATTTGCAATGACACTACACTAAACATTCTGGATTGAAGAAATATTTATATTAAAAATTAACACGCACATTACATTTATATTTTGGACATGTTATAAATTAATATGTTATATATTTTCATGAGAAACTTTTTAATATAATGCAGCTTTTAATTACCGGCTATTTTTTTTTTTAATTTTACGGACGCGTGTACGCCTCTATAAATATAGCCCACGTGTATTTTGAAGTGCAGAAGGTGCAAGAAATCAGCTGGAAGTGCTGGAACGAACAGATCGGCACATATCTGATGAGCTGAAAGCTTTTCCCGTGTGAATAACTTGGGCCTTAATTATTTCCGTTTATATTATATTTAATATCATAACTCGTCAGTCGGACCTTTTAGTTCAATGTCGTTTTCGCTGCGTGACATAAAGTTTTACATGGATGACTCGAAATGTCGGTGAGTAACCTCGCTATTACGGAATGCCTTTACTTTTGCATCTTGATTTCGCAATCTAATGCAATCCTAATTGTGTAACGTTTCAAACAAACATCAGCGATATGACACTTTTCGACGGTCTGTTAAAACCATCGAAAATTTTGATTTTTTTTATCTGATCTATCCAGGTATTACGTTGAGCCCTCTGATGAATTTGTTTACAGTAGATACTCAGATAAATTTCTACACACAGTATCCTCTGAATGTTTATCATCTCAAGGAATAAACAAACGATTATACATTGCTCATTTTCAGGGTATAATCCTTTAAAAGCGTATAAATATGTATTATTGGCACAAAACGCACATGGGGATTTGATGTTTTATTTGTTAACAAATGGCTAGTACAGCAACCGAAAATATGGAAAGTAATTCTAACAAGAATGGAGACAACACGGAGACGGAGAGGCAGCTCAAAGAGAGAGCCGAACGAAATCGCCAGAGAGCACTCTTGTTAAGAAAATCTAAGGTTGTAGCTCATCCATATGCGAGGTGTGTATCAAGCGTATACATGAGAGATTTGTTAATGTATTTGTCTGTAATTCAATCATCTTTTAAAGCTCAATTCTTTGATCTTGGAGTGTTGGATTTAAAATAAACCTTTTTTTTCTTTAAGAATTTGATTAGATTCTTACGTGTTCTTATTAATAATATGGTTGTAGAGAAAATGATGACTCTGTAAAAGGAAGAATGATAAAAGTACAAGGGCAGCGTGTTATCGACAGTGGTGGTGGCTTTCTGATAGAAGAAAACGATGAATTAGAACAGCAAATGGTAGCGGACACGTATATACATAATTATATGCATGACATTGTTACGTTATACAATAATAAACATTTATATTTATTTAGCTTAAAATTAGAACCGAGCCAGAGCCAGTTATTGGTAAATTTAACGAATGTGAGGAGTGCCAGGAGAAATTTGGAGATTCATATCTTTTGCAAACGTTCGATCTAACTGTCTGTGATAAATGCAGGTATGAGAGCGGCATTTGAAGTAAACGGCTTTATTTATATGGTATCTGGTTTCCTCTCCCTCATGTCTCTTGATAATGAGAAGTCGCGAATATTATACCGTTATATATATCGTTTTAGGGATAAAGAGGGAAAGCACTCCTTAATCACCAAAACTGAAGCTAAACAAGAATACCTGTTGAAAGATTGCGATCTCGATCGACGGGAACCTGTGCTAAAGTATATCGTGCGAAAGAATCCTCACAACGCGAATTGGGGCGAGATGAAGTTGTACCTGCATCTGCAGATAGAACAGAGGGCTTTGGAAGTTTGGGGTTCGGAAGAGGATCTGTTGAAGGAGAAGGAGGCGCGCGATGTAAAGCGGGCGGGAGCTAAGATCAAGAAATTCAATAAGAAGGTACCTTAACTTGTATAAGTGATTTAAATATGACGTCGTATATCGTTGCTAAAACAAGTTTTACGTTTTGCGGATGAGTGAAGATGAAACAGCTGCGAATGCAAGTGAGAAGTTCGTTGTACGATAAGACAACAAAAGCGTCGCACGTTCACGAGTTTGGAGAAGACACGTACAATGAAGAGGATGATACATATACGCACACTTGCACGACGTGCGATTATGAGGAAACGTACGAAAAAATGTGAATCCCCGAATATTATCATTCGCGATAGCATGAGTCAATTTGATATCACTTTATACGAGAGAGAGAATATGATTTTTCCTTGAATATGATCTTGTAGAGTCTCGAAAAAGAAATTTGTTTTTTCTCTCGAAAATTTGAATGCACGGAATATTTTGTTGATCAATGCAGTTTCGATTTATACATCTTTTTTTTATATTTCACAAAATAATTTAAATAAAAGATATGATAAATTATGTATTTTGTTATTAATTTCATAAGTTTTTCCCGCCATGTGAATATGTTGTTAAAAAATTATACTTATTTCATTTACGTTATAAAATAATTACCTATAATTATATACAATTACGAAATATGTAAATTATTATATTTATTTCGCTATTTTTTGTACATTGGAGTAATATAATTTTGCATATTTTTTTCTTATTTAAAAAGAACAATGTTTTAATATTCAGAAGATATGCTGCTTAAACAATATTTTTGTAGATATCACGTAGACAATTAGATTAAAATAACATTTTTTTTCTTTTGCGAAAACTTAATCTGTTTATATTTAATCTGATGTTTATTATTACAATAAATAAGTGTATAATTGTACGCTTGTTGGAACCGAGACGAAAATCTAAACAGATGACATAAGACGCGATTGCGTTGAAAATATCTGCATAATCTAATTATTGTCCGTTGGTGTTTAACCCTTATTAAGACATTGGTCAGTTAAAATCGTATTATCGCTATTGTATTGCAATTTTTCGAAGCTTATCAGAGAGATCTGGCGATTATATAATTACAATTTATGCATTATAACATGAATTACAATGCAATAATTATATATTACAGTCATATGCATTGCAACATATAAATAATACAGATAAAAGTCTCATTTTTTTATTTCGCTGTAATTCGCACGTGCTCGTTTTTCGATTCCAGCGTTCGATTCGTGGAATTAAAAAACGAATTAAAAAATTCTGATTAATACAATGGACATTTCGAAACAATCAAAAAGTTCATTATTTACATTAAAGCACTATAGGAAGAGACAATTGTTCATTTCCGTCACTTCTTTTTCCATATACATATATACATAGACATAATATACAAATTATAGTCCGACCTACATCTCATCGCATATTGCAGAAACATACTTGACTAACTGTTTCTTTGGAACACTAATGAGGCAGGTGCGAAACGATACGTAAATAACAGGCCGCTTCATACAGAAATTATGAAAATACATATTTGCCACGAACTAAAAATTTGTGCGCAAAGTCTACACAAAAATTTTAAAACGGTTAAACGTTTGGCACAGTTAGCCTGTTGTTGTCGCTACTACTACTGCTGTGAGTAGTATGCACCGGGTTACTAACTTCGACAGACGATCTGCAAACAGAAAGAGAAACGTGCAAATCAGTTACTTGCTAGAAAATATTTAAGGCTCCTGGACGGTCACCGCGGCCATATTGAATTCTTACTATCGGGACGAGGAAAACACCCAATTTTGTTGTGCATGCCATTTTCAAATAAAAAGACATTTCAATAAAACTATAGATCGTTTCAGAACACTATAGATCGATCACTATAGATCGTTTCAGAACACTTCCGAAATTGACCGAAAACTACCCTTTTCCCTCGACAATAAACCAACAGCTATAAAACGAAGCCTAAACATACGGGAAAAACAGCCCTTTTATGACTATCGAAAGGAGGTGAAAACGTTCCTTCCGCATGCAAATCTTACTTTTCGGTCAATTTTACGACTTTCACGAATACGTTAAACGTTAGAGCACAAGCGCAGAGCGAATAATAAAGAAATAGCATGCACAATAAAATAGGTTGTCAACATGTCACAAAAGACTTCTCCATTGGAGAGAGTTCTTACGATGGTGGCGACGGTACGTCGCCACCGTCAACGCAGAGTTCTCGGCTGACCATATCCAGGGGGCTTAAAAAATTAACAGTAATTAATAGTTGTATTCATATGGTTTGAGTTTTATCGTCAAAGTTTTAAATTCGCATTGCGTGATTTACAAAGTTTTGTAACGCTATATAAATTCAAGATGATTTGGAAATAAACTTCTTCAGTTATTTTAATAATTAGTATCTACATGTTAAGAGAAAATTGTTCTAAAAATTTTAATAATGATTTTAATAATGATACCGCATCCAATTTTTCATTTAGTTTCTCCAAACATATAAGTATAAATTCAATGAAACGCTCAAGTCACGTACCTGTTATGCGTCAAATGACTCTTGACTAAGTCCCCGGAGGTCAACGCGGCCATCAAAGATAGCTCTCCGGCGAGTACGGTGGCGCAAACGATTTGGGCGAGTTTTTTGGCGTTCAGACCGGGTTCCGTGGGATGCGCACCCTTGATCCCCAGCATCGCCAAGCACGCACTTTGCGCCGGCAAACCAGTACCACCGCCCACTGTGCCGACTTCTAGGCTGGGCATCGTGCAGGTAATGTGCAGATCCTTGCCGTCCACACCATACGGTTCCATCACCGTTATACAGTTACTGCTGCTAACGTTCTGTGCTGGATCTTGTCCAGTTGCGATGAAAATTGCGGTCACGATATTTGCGGCGTGCGCATTGAAGCCGCCCATGCTGCCTGCCAAGGCTGAACCTATCAAGTTCTTCTTGATATTGAGCCTGACGAGTTTGCGCACTGAGGTCTTCAGCACGCGCGACACGACGTCCGCAGGTACGATTGCCTCGCTCACCACGGTTTTACCCCTACCCTCAATCCAGTTGACAGCTGCGGGCTTTTTATCGGTGCAGAAATTCCCACTGAGGGAGAGTATCTCCATGTCCGGAAAATAGGTCTGTAACGTCTGCAGAGACCTCTCCGTCCCCTTGGACATCATATTCATCCCCATAGCGTCACCGGTCGGGCCAACAAAGCGTAGATGCAGGTCCCGGCCGGCTACTTTCTGGTCGATCTTCGTCAGTCGAGCAAATCTGCTGGTTTCCTCAAAGCTGTCCTTTAGTTTCTGAAAGTTTTCCGGCTGTTTTATCCACGACATCGCTTCGTACATGCGCTCAATGTTCGGGAATTGCACTACAGGTGCTCGAGTCATCTCATCTTTAATTACGCGAGTTTTCACGCCGCACTTCAAGAGCGCGCGGCTGCCGCGATTTGTAGAGGCCACCAAGCAGCCCTCCGTCGTTGCCATCGGCACGTAGTACTTCTGGTCGTCGATCAGCAACGGCCCGACGCTACCAACCGGTACCGGGACGTACCCGATGACATTTTCGCAGCAGGCGCCAAACACCTTGCTGTAATCGTAGTGTCGGTATGGTAAGTCGGTCATTTCCTCGGTGACTTTTCCGGCGTCACCCACGACGAGACGCCTGATGTCAACACCGCGCTCAAAGTCTCCTACCGCTTTTTCCAACTGGTACGCAGCTATGTCCTTGCGTTTCACCAGTTGTATCACCTCCTCGTTCGTCAAGGCACTGGCTCCAAGCTTATATACACATACAAGAATATATATAATTATATTATACATATACTAATACATTACATATTATTATCTTATTATCTATTATTATCATTATACATTATTTTCTTACCTCTGACTTATATATCTCGAGACAGTCTTCCACGCTCCGGGGAGCTTCGGACTTTTTCGGTGAGTCATTTTCGGAATTGCTCGCACCATGGTATATCGCGTCGGTCTGTACCTCCTTGTCAACGCACTCTACATCGTTCTCATTACCCCAGCCACCACCCACGCCGGACAGAGGAAAGACCGGCTCTTGGGTCGTCGGTAATGTTACGCCAAAATGTTCTTGAAACCACATATTCATCGTGATATCCATATCGTCCAGATTAGTTGAGCCGTCGAGAAGCTTCACTTTTTCTTCCACTGTCATCTCCTTCGCCTCGCCCTCCTCTTCCTCCTCTTCTCGTCTGGCGACCACATCGCTTCTATCCTCGAAGAAGATGAACTTTATCGCCAGCGCTAACACCAGTATCAATATCACAATGTTGTCCGCGCTGGCTGATAGCCAAGTCATTTGGTGTTCCTTCAATTCGGAACTCTCGTGATCGGAACCGTTTACCGCGTCCGAGCTCGTGGATGTCGCTGCCCTTCTCGTCGTGTACTCGGCTTCTTCGCTCTTAAAGGGCCAGCGGCTGTAATATGGAACAGGCAATTAACATAAATCTAAATTATAAATAAATTAAAACAATCTAGATAATTATATAAAGCAGAGAGTAGATATTTTATTACTATAAAATAAAACTCTTCCAATGCAATATGGAAATTATAGATGTAAATGCACAATCCTAACAAGATGACAATTGAGACCGCAAATCGTAATTGTGTGAAAATATTTAAGATAAAAAAAATTATTAGAATGTTTACGTAAAAACTTCCTCAATGTATACACCGCAATATAATGATAGTTATGTTAATGAACAAATGAGAGAAAGTCGTTTTGAACGAAATACGAAGCCCACGAAGCGAACGCAACAACAGTTTTTCGCAAACTAAAACGTATTATAATTCAGAATGATAACCGGTAGCACAACGGAGAGAGAATATTCGAAGTATTCTGTACCACCACCACCACCCTATAATGTCATTTATTTTTGGACTCTCATTTTACTTTGTATGGACGACAGTCCTTTTGTACACGCGTTATTATTAACGTTCTCATGCAATATTAAAATACGCTTTGCCATTCACACGGATCTGGTACAAAAACGTAGCACTCTCGATACTTTATATATTGAAAAATATTTACGTATTGTATAACTACGATTGCATAAAGATGAAATTGTATAACGACATACGTCATGTTGAATTAATACATTTGTTATTTCAACAGTATCAATAAAAAATATTGTAATTGTTAAAATATGACTTTTCAGATTTATTTGTTTTTTGTCAAAAGCGTAAAACCGTGAAAATCCAAGGTTACATCCAAACTAATATATGAGATTTACTTATTTAATTTTTATAATGGCAGTTCGATTAAAAAAAACCGTCACAATTTTTTTCTAAAAATATATTTAGAATTCTATAAAATAGAGTCCATTCGATTTCGCCTCTTATCTTTGTAAATATCCACTCGAGAATATCCGAGACGAGAATGATAAAATTATATATATGAATGACTTTTTCTCCCATTGCGAGATTATTTTGTTCGTACTGCGATAGCCGACAACTCTTTGAAAACGTCCAAACTTCTTGCTCGATAAGATCTTGTTTCCTGTGGAAAGCTTCATTGAATATGGATTCTTCATTGAATAGAAGTCTATATCCAAATGCTAATGTTTACAGATGAACCTGACCTGACGTCAAAATTAGGCGTTACAAACTGTTTGACAAAGACGGCGTAAACATAAAAAAAGTAATGGGGGTCAGATACAATAGCTCTTCGGCCACGGTTTCCTGCTCCGCCGCGTGTGTACCATATACATTATCGTACATAGCCGCTTTATATTCTAAAGTTTGCATTAAGGAAAAGGTCCCTTCTTTTTGTTATATCACCACAAGAAACAATAAAAATGTATACCTGTTGGCATGTACTACAAATAGGCCGGCGATCATGATCATTTTGACTCGCTCCACCACAGGATTCGGTTTTTGATCCTCCTCGTTTAACTGCATTATAAATTTGTCTGCGCTCAGTTGGCCCATATTATTACTCCCGCGAGAAAGCTGTAATACAATAGCGTCCTTTACACAAATACAAATTTAATGAGTATATAATTTTTATCGCATACGATATTGGACAATTAAATTCTTCGTCTTTTTGGCGATTTTCTAAATTTGGAATCTCGGGGGGCCTTGAAACATTTCTAAAATCTTGCCAAATTCGACGCTTACATTATTCTCAAGTAAAAAAAGAACTTATATGGTATTTGTATAATGATGTACGTTAAATATACTTGATAGCATCGGATTTCTCTAACAATAATGGACCTAATCTTTTAAATCTGTGCTTTTCAACTTTGCTACGTTACGCTTTCTGCGTTTAAAACGGAATACTCGATTTGTAAAAGTACGGGGAAAGGAGTCGTTTCAAATGAGAACATCAAATTGAGCTATACCTCGAGTATGAGCGACAAGCAGGCCGGATAAAACGTCATAAAGACGATGTAGTTGACGATCACCCCGAGGCATGCAAAGGTGCAGAGGATCTCCAGCCTCCTGATGCCCGATAAGGATCCTATGCCGATCAGGAGGGTCTCCACGAGGGTATCCAGAGTGATGGCCGGTCCCAGCAGAGACATGCCGCGCGCGATGTTTGCTTTGACTTCTTCTGGATTCCGCGAACTTAGAGCATACTGCGCCAATGTCGCGGCCTTTGATAGGTCGATAAGAAGCAAAAAGAAAACTAAAGCGTCCCTAGAAGAGTAATAACGTTTCATTGTAATATCGCGCGGATAGAGGAGTCATTATAGTCTCCTCGTATATAAAGCGACGGTAACCGCAACTGCTTACTTCCAGTCTGCGAAATCGCTGCGGCCAAAATTCATCACGCTGGACGTGAATACCACGCTAGACGTGAATACCACGCTAGAGCACACGGTAAACAGGCCGGCGATACCTGAAACGCATACGACAAATCTGTTGAGTATGTGATAATCGAAATTAAGTGTGTTAAATTGCGATGAAACCGACATGATTTCGATGCGAAGGACGTGTAAGGAAAAGACAGGTCGCTCTCGTCGTGTTTCGTTCGTTCACGAGTGAACGGAAGGATTTTTATGTGCAGGGTACCTATCCGTGAGAATATAACTCAGTATTTTATCTCTTTAACGATCTCTCGTCGGTCATTACTGTGTCAATGTCATCGGCGGAACGCAGTTCTGCATTTACGCGGCGCGTGTTCTCGTTGCGAATTAAATTATCTGCACGCATAACGTTACGCGGAGCGTTAAATGGCGTAAAAAGAATTCCCAGTAACCGAATTCAGTAATCGAGCATAACGCACCGGACGAAACGCTGTCACTTTCTATGAGACTTTCACTGTTCGCTGTCGTGGGCTTTCACGCGCCGCTCGGGAGGATCCGGTTTTATCAATGGTCCTGACACGCATAATTATTACGCATTTTGTTCCGAATGGTTCCGTCGTCGACGCACCGGTGTGTATCGATCTGTAGTAATCATGGAAAAAAAAGAAAGATCCTACTTCCGGAGAAGCGTAAAATCGAAAGGAACACTGTTGTCCGATTCGTGCCGTCTGACTCTCTCGCCGCGTGCTTATTTCAGATTCATTTCGTATTTTCGCGAACGGTTTTAATATAAATCGCGTATTTATGATAATTCAATGTATCTATATATAGAGTCTAGTATTATATTTCAAAGTTCAAGGTCTAAAGTTGTTAAATAACACTGTTCCACAAAAGAAAAATGCGCAAAAATGACAATAATAGTTTCCTGTAGTTTTGAACGCTGAGTGCGATAGCGTTTGCCAAATTGTTCTACCGTGTCATAATTTTTAAAAATTTGCAGTTGAATTTGCAAAAAAGACTATTTTAGTGTATTCTGGTATATTATAACTACGATTTGTGTGACGTGTTGGATAAGTTTTGTTACAATCAAAATTAAGCATGTTGTTCAGACTTTCAGCTCTTAAAAGAAATTTGTTGTGTCGATCATGGTTAAAAAGATATTGATGATTAAACATAGATTAACTATTGCTTCAAAGTTGCGACTACATAACCATTACTTACATAAACCATTAACTTATAAAATATTTTTGACAATAATAATAAGTGAATTGGGATCGATATATGGTATTCAATCAAATAGAGAAAACGCCAAAATATTTTTTAATTATGTTAAAGGTTTTTCAAAATGTCTAAATTAAAAAATTGTTTCAGACTTATTTTAGACCCATTTTTACACTAAAAAATAGTCCTTTTTTGCAAATTCTAAAAATTGGGGATAGAGCAATTTGATAAATGCTCTATCGTATTCAGCGTTCAAAAGACTACGGAAAACGATTATTCTCGTTCTTGTGCTCGAAAAAAAAAAAGGAATTTTTGTTGAACAGTGTAATCTACGAACATCTTGTACGAATTAAAATTTTCAATTTAATTCTCATACATATGTTTGTCAAGCAACGTAATAATAAACTGTATGACTGTAACGAATGTATGAACAACAACTTTTTGCGATAAAACTTTAATGTTACTGGATAGTTAGAATTAATGGGAAATTTATTGTGCAAATACGTAATCGTCTAAAAACTTATGCAAAACTCAATACATTTTACATGCAGTTTCAATATAAATCATTATTCTATAATGAATTATGTAGGTAATACATAAACAATGAAAGTTGTTTTAAGCGTTATTAATTTTCTTACCTAAAATGTATTTGGATCCCATTTTTTGCAAATTGCGAAACTGATGATAAGTGAATAGCACCGCCAGGCAACGTATTATCGTCATCACTATAATGTCAGCCGCTTTTAGATCCTATCGAACAATACGCATACGTTAGGAATTTTTTCTATCAGAGTAGACAAAAAAGTATTAATTAAAAGAAACAGTAGCGCACATAAAAATTTTGTTTGATCCAACAGTCAAAATTATTTCATAAGATATAGAAATAATATACAAGGGTCGGTAGTAATTTTTCTCGTCATTATGTCATAAAAATTTCTAACAACACAAATGGATTTCAATGCAACTCACTTCTTCTACAATAAGAAATTAAATATTCAATATAATCACTGCCCTTTGACTGCTATACATATTTGACATACGCGTCAGTTTGAACTGCTCGTGTGACACACTTATGCAACTGATCACAACGCCTTTTAACATAATTCCACTTAGAGACTACAAGTAACAACTCAGTGAAATGCAAAAACTTTCTATGGCGCTAGATTCGAAAGAAAAAAAATTAGGTGGCATTACTTTCGTACCGACCCTCGTAAATAAGTATCTTTTAATAATTCGATCTAATACAACATATTCATATACCTATACAAAACATCGTAAAAATCAGGACTTTACGTGACAGAAGTTGACGTCCTTAAGAAAATGATCGAAGCGTGGAATTTCACACGACGATCTCTGCTCACCATAGTATTGCATTTGTTGTGACGGCAGTACGTGGCACCGAGCAAGTCCTCCCCGCGTGCCCCTTCCTGTCCACTTCTAGTCTCCCTGTTATACATACACGCCGTCAAAGTAAAGATCGTCACGATCACCTCCAAGGGATGACCGGCGCAGAACCGGCCCAGTTTTTCGAATACGTGAGCCAGCATCTTTGATGGCTCTCGTGAAAAAAAAGTTCTTCCGAAATCTGCAACATATTGATCGCGTGTTTCAAATCTTAAGGACTTATCGAGGGAAAAGGAGAAAAGACGGGCGATTTTAAAGATTCATCGCGCGCTTCTTTGGTCAATCCTGATGAGGAGCGATCACGAAACTTTTATCGTAGGGCAGAAACATGAAAAGTGAAAAGTTTCATGTATAACTATCTCATTCTATTGGTGTTGAATAGAAGGAGATATATAGTCATATGAAATTTTTCACTTTTCACGTTTCCGAAAGTTTCTAGGGGAAAAATTACGCTATCGTTGCCCTGGAGTCAATTTTTTCCTTAGCGAAAATATTAAAGGGGATCGTCTTTTATCGCACAATTTCTCGCACTCAATATATCAGCTTGCGACGGTCTTTTTTTTACACCAGAACTCATTCAAACACATTTATTTCTTAAATTCTCTTGGTTTACTTTCCATTTATTTCGATGAGAGATCGTGAGAATTGACTGGTTTCTTTCGAGAGTGAAATAATATATGCGTGATCGCGCGCGTCTATGCCGACATGTAATTTGCATGCGGCGCAGACGACGACGCCCAGGTTTGGGGAAAGTGACCGTTGCATCACTTTTTCGAGTGTCAACAAATGTATAATAGCTTTTAGCCAATTAACTTATATAATTGTTATGTGATTGCCGAATTCTTCAGCAATTCTATACCTGTTATCCGATCTTATACAAGTTATTCTATACCTGTTATCCGAAGTTATTTTTTATGTCGTATCACGTCGATTTTATCGCGCGTTCTATATAAAACAAAATATAATTTTCTATCTCTCTACGTGTGTGCTTGTGTGAAATGAAGTTATAAAATACTTCTCAGAAATATTTTATAACTTTAATTCCATATTATTTCGTATTTCTTTCATACAAGCATACACGTAGAGAATTAGAAAAACGTTATTATACCATTATGTCGTTCTATGGAACGCGCGTACAATCGACGTGCAACGATATGAAAAATAACTGCGAATTGTATAAGATCGGATACTAGATAGATTTGTTGAAAAATTCGGCAATTATATAAGTTAATTACATTAAAATACATTAAAATAATGTTGGGAAATCATTAAAATCGAAAGTGCTGAACAATGTGGTTACGATACTTTTTATTGATGTCATTAAATGGGGTACTCGGAATAGCTCAGTAATAAGTACGGTAATAATGTTTTTTCACTTAATTTTATAAAGAGATTATGTGTATGTAAAATTATGTATATACATGTATAAACTAGTGGATTTTCAAGCTATACAAATAAGATGTGCGGTATAAATTTACATATCGTATCTATTCTCATTGTCTCTTTGTCTTTTACTCCCACTGCTTATTGTCTACCGTTTGCACAAGCTCTATGTCGATTTACATGTGTTTTGTTTATTTTCTTTGTCACTCTCATCTTCATAGCATCTGCATATCGACTGCCCGAAAGAAATTTACGGGATTACGCAAGAATAGAAAAAATGAAATCTGAATCTCATGAATATATTACGACATCGTTAAGATAATTCGAGTTTGCGAAAAATCCGTCCTAATGCGTTCTACTAGACTGGCCAGTTAAACGAAATCTTTGCAAGAGTTGGATGACAGCACGGAGGGATCGACCGATAACACTGTTACAGCGAGTTACGAAATCGTATTCTTGAACATCTTAAGCAGCCCGGTTCGCTTTCTAGTTGATCGTTGCCTCCCGAGGACAAAAAAAATCGTTGAGAAAAAAGTCAAGCGGACTTGGTTCCACATAAATGTGTCATTCCCACATTCGAAACATCGAATCAGTAAGTCCTCGAGGGGTGAATCGGATGGAAGGAACGCATGCTCCGCAGGGTGCACCCTTTAATCGCGGGCAAAGTACAAGTTCTAGGGCGTCCTGTGTAACGCATCTGTCCGGATAGCCGAGATCTTTTTATGCATACAATAATGATACAGGTTGTCGACTACGGAGAAAGAGCACTAATTCACCGGCGTGACTCGAAATGTCTGTCAAGGTCGGTGACTTTCCAAGTGTCGAGAAGTACTCGCGCGAGTATTTCTACACACCTGACTGATCATTATCCTCTTCTCAGTTTTAACAACTATCGCGGAATTTACTTTTCTCGCTGGCTACGATCTGTGCTCTTTATACGAAAGAGTATATATTGTCGCCTGAAAAATTGTCACGTTTACATGAATTAATTAAAATCAATTAACACAGGTTATATTATTGACCAAACTGACATTTATTTTTATTCCGTTAACTCACTTTGAGTTAACGGAATAAAAATAAATGTCAGTTTGGTCAATAATATAACCTGTGTTAATTTTTCACTGACAAAATAAAGAATTTTGAATAAAATCAATTAAATTAATTCTTCGATACAAAACAAATAAATTAATTACATTTGCATAACAATATGCAACTTTTTCACCACGACTCTTTTTCTTAAAAATAAAATTTATTAGGCCTTTCAAAAGTGACAAATTTCTTTAACAGCAATTTGTTATCGTTTATCCTATATATAGTTTTAATATGTATATGTATATCGAACGTAATATATATGGAGAGAGATAAAAGCCATAGATAGTGATGTAAGTCAAATTTTTTTAAGTATTGACTCGTGTGCATAGATGCAATTTATATATTGTATATATTGCAACTATGCACACGAGTCAATATCTTAAAAATTTGACTTAAATTACTATGACTTTTATCCCTCCATATATATATATATTTTACTCTCAATAAACTTATTGCGCACAATTATAAATAGAATGGTAGAAGATAATAGTGAAAATTATAGTGATACTGTAAGTAAAATCAGATCTATAAAAAGCTCATGCGATAGAACATCAAGATGAAAATATCGCAAAATATTTATAATTTTTCAAACTCTTTAATATTGTCACGTATTCTCTGTAGAAAACTTATATTTTTCATTTTAGACATATTTATATATGTCAGCAATGTAATTATTCGCCTACGAAATGGCAATGTTGCCGATAGATCGGAATGAGAAACGCTTAAAAATAAATTGGTTGACCGTGCTGGAAAGGATTAGTTACACATGTTAATTGATACACACCTCTTAAACAGGTAATGCAGGTTTGATTGGCAGTCGCTGCATGAAACATGCATCGCTAATTATGCAGGGAACCATGTATATTGATTACCTTCGAAATTTCTTTCGCTTTAGAGCCGGTTGTTCCAACCTGTTGGTAAACTAACTAATAGTTAAATCATATGTCTACCTTTATCTAATTTAAAGGAAAAACAAAGCACATATATGCTTTAACTATTAGTTAGTTCACCAACACATTGGAACAACCGGCCCTTAAACTTGAAACGAGATAAATATAATATGAGAGCCGCGAAATTATCAGTTGTATAATATTCTTTTAAAAATCGACTTGTTGCATAAACTTCGCAACCGTGTGGAATATATTTAAAAAGAAAATAAAACATCTCAATGAGCAATAACTTTATAAGTGTTTCTCGTAAAAGATTTTAAATATTTCTTTATATTTTGTATATAAAAAAAAAACATAAAATAATTTCCATCACATTTTATCATAATTATCACAATATATAAGTTGTAATTCTGCAAATAAAAATATAGCTATACATATCTGCATTGTCATTTATATTACAAAATATAATACTCATTGAATTAAATTATGTTAAAATGCGACAAAAATTATATCGGATAAAAATAAAACATAAGTAATAAACGATCGCATCGCAAGTAAAAAGCGAGTTAGTTGACACAAATTCCTCTTTCAGTTTCAATTGCTCGAGGACTATCGGCTTCTCGAGAACACAAAAAGGGACATTCCTTTTACTCAATCCTCGATATCTGTAATCGAGAGAGAAAGTGCGTGCGTATATTCCTCGGACGTTCTGCATATTCTACTTTTTTCTTCTCTCTCTCTCTCTCTCTCTCTCTCTCTCTCTCTCTCTCTCTCTCTCTTTCGTACTTCCCTTTTCGTCAGTCATAGTGTATTTAGAGGCGAATTTTCCCGTACTTTACTATATACGCTGAGGAATCGCTACTTTCTTTACTTCTTCACGTTCCAGGAACGTTCACTACTCTCCTGGCGCATTAATGCAACGTTGCTCACTTTTTCCGCGATACGTTTCTCTCCCGCGACCGGGTGACCCTGAAGTAAATGAAATTTACTTTCTTCGACGAAGCGCAACGAATAGTGCGTGCTCCGGCGCGTCTCTCTATCATCCCTCTCCCTTTCTTTTTTTTTCCTCGTGTCGGAGCGACTAATGAGTAACCGGGGCATACTCTGACACTAATAAGATTGACCTGCGAAAACTGATGAATGTCCCAAGAAGCCCAGAAGGTCCCGTGGCAAATGTCTATTTAAGATAATCGGAAGTCCGTCTCTGACGAATAAAGGTCCTCGCACAATGCCAGGCAACAGGCAATAGGAACAGGGAATAACACAGGCAATAGATCTTCAACCTATCGAAAGCCATATTTCTCTCAATCCATTCTGTTCCTATTCCCTGTTTCTATTGCCTGTACTATTGTGTTCTGACCTTAAACCCTCAACGAGCTCCTCTAATTGTAAGGTTCTGGCGCGGAGCCCGAGTCCGAACTTGTGCTCCGAGCGATACGTATCTTTATTACAGATATTTACTTTGCATGTACATGGTTCCTAATTGGTTCATAATTAATTAGACCCTGCAGTTTCACAAATGTCGGTTAGCTTTAGATTAACTCACTCTTCGTCTCTTTCTAAGGGGGACGTTTAGAAAGAGACAAAGAGTAAGTTAATCTAGGGCTAAAAGTTAATCGATGTTCGTGGGACTGACCTTTAGACAGCTAACTAACAAGCGGTGCTTTATCTCTTTTTTCGACAGTCATACGTAAAAGATCAGTTACGCAATTTGTCTTTCGTTAGCGATAGTTGGTCCTCAGCGAGAAAGCAACACTTTTTTTTAACTATATATACGGACGACGTTCGATCGAAAAAGAATAAAATTAGAAGTTTGCAAATTCAACGACTCTCGCTTATGAATATGTATATTGTATATGTATATTCTATTTTCGCGTCGATGCTCGATTACAATCTGCGGAATCTAAAATATGATTGCAAAATTGATAATAAACGTAGAATATGCCAAGCGAATGCGGTTTGTATTGTTCGAGTAAAATTTTATCTTAACATATTTAATTTTTAATAAAAAAAGACATTAAACATTAAATATAAAAATATCTGTGTGAACAATCAGACACTGAATTTTCATTGAGGGCGGATTGATTTACAATAAAAAAAAAACAGTAATAGAAAATGAATTAAGTTCTGACGTTAATAATAAATAAAGGCATATAGACTTGGTTGAATTTTCTCTGTTAACAAATATGTCTTTCAAGCTGTCATATAGTATCTTATTCCCAGAAATAAATCATTAATTTACCGATATAAAAGTTAATTTATATATTCAGACGTGAGAACGACCAGGTTTTCACATCCAGCGATGAATGAAGGTAACTTGAATTCGTAGTTCAAATTCAAATTATATTCGATTTGACAATGAGTCATTTTTAACAATTTCTATAGGTCACCACTGCTCCTTGTCAGTATATCATTAATTTAACTAAAACAATAGAGTTAAAATAATCCTGTTTTGTGTTAAAATAATAAATTTCGACACACATGGTAGTTAAAAATAACAAAATGTTATTTAACTACTCAAGGTTTAAATTTCATCCTTTAATATTTAATAGTATAAATATACTTATATTTAATACGCATAGATTGTAGCCATTATGAATTAAAATTAAATTCTAATTTGCTTGACTCATATGTCATAAGTATTTATAAGAATTTCATTTATATAAGAACAAAGGAACTGAACACTTTAACATTTAATATTTAATATTTAATAAAATATATTTTCATCAATACCCCTTATCTGGAGACAAACAATACTTACCTCTGTAAATATACAATATTTAATAAAAGTATAAGTATTGTTTGTCTCCAGATAAGGATTCATTCATTTCGTCTCGGGAATTCAATTTTTAATAGTTTAATCAAAATAACTGATTGTATAAACGTTAATAAAGATAGATCAAAGGTCTATTTAGCGAAATAGAAATTAACGCTGCATAAGCTGAGTAGCACACAGTATCCGTACTGTTCGGAGTACCAAAGTATAGATATATTTGGATTACAGATATCCGATCGGAAAACATCAAGTAGGAAAATTAACAGTCGAAAAATAATACGGAAGCCGCACGAATACATACCTTATTTGAAAATAAAACAATCCGTGGATTTTCAATCCGATATCCGGCGCTATTGCGCACGGTTCGACGCCTGGCGACGGCCAAAATATTATTTTCTCGAAGCGTGCCTTATCGATCGCCTGATTTTCCGAAATCTTTGCCTATGATCCCACGAAGTCGACGAGATAAACGCGTGTGCGAGCAACGTCGACTTCTCGACGGTGAAAATATTTCGACGTCACGTTCGCAAGGATCCGTAACTGTTCCCACGAATTCGTCGAACGACTCAACTATGTAGGAAGAAGCGGAAGAACCGCAAACGGAGCACCCGGCCACCCGGCGATAGGCACGTAGAGAGACCAAGTGTCGATTTTGATCTGCGGCCTGACGCTGTAGACGCGAGAGATATAAAGCCTCCCTCCAAATTATAAGGCGCCCACCGACTAACTGACTTGACGTCGGATCGGTCACCGTCGGCCGTGAACGACGCTCACAATTGCCGCCGCGTTGCATTCTCGGCCGTCTCCGCGCGCGCTCGATTGCACTCGGGGGATGGCGCGCAGGCGCAGACGCGTCCAGTCGCGTGCACGCACCGACCCGAATGGCGCAATTTTCATGCGATTTGTGAAATTTCTCGATCTGCTGGAAAAAATGTTTTCAGATGAATCGACGTATCCATGGTTTCTTCATTCCGACACGTCCGGACACGCGTTTGAAAATTCGTCGCTTCGATAACAATATCTAAATGAACAACGTCGATATGCGATACATCGAAAGTCGCGCGCCGAGACTTTAAATATTCAAATTCGTTACGCGAACGATATAAATGTAAAACAAGTGAAAGATAAGAAGACATTAAAGGTGCCAATTCATGAGATGCTGAATATTTAGCGTCGTCGCTGAATCGTCGTTAATCGTCCCAGTACAATCAAACATAGACTTCGAAATACGTAAAATATTAATTACTTTCAAGTAATAATATTTTATGGATACATATATAAGGGCTGGTTGTTCCAGACTGTTGGTAAACTACCTAATAGTTAAATCATATGTATGTCTTTGTTTATCCTTTACATTGGACAAAGATATAATAAACATGTGATTTAACTATCAGGTAGCTTACCAATAGGTTGGAACAACCGGCCCTAAATAAAAGATATTATTTCTGAAGTTTTTTGCTTGCTGAAAATGAACGTCGAGCGTCAACGTGAAGAGGCACCTTTATGACCTCACCAATCGATAGCATAATCGAGGCATAGCAATAAAATATTTTTTATTAAATATTAAATATTGAAGTCTTCACACAGTTTCTTTTTTTTTCTAAGTAAAATTCTTATCATACTTATGACGTATGAGTCGCGCAATATAAAAATTTAATTTTAATTTATAATGGCTATGTATCCATACGCATCATACCTACAAGATTTATATTATTCATTTTACGAGTGCGTTTTTAGATAAATTCGGCGATCGTCTCAGAATAAAAAAATAGAGAGATTTTTTATATACATATAGATATGTAAATCTGTGGAAAACATTGTAAATTTTTTTCCAACGTCATTATTCACGTAGCTATTGTACATACAATCTATGTGACGTTTTCCGTAGATTTATATAAATAATTTATGACCATTGGTTTAAACATTCGAAATACTTACTATACATGCTGTACCAACAAAAATTACTATAGTTGCAAATAGCTGTTATTATGAATTTAGTGGGGCCTTCTACTATAATACAATGGAGATAAAATAATAATAGTAAAAATACGTAATAACATAAGAAATGGAGGATCCTCTATCGGACGATTTATTATTGACGTACCTATAAGATGCTAGAAAATATATAATATAATAATGCCGATGAATTTAGATAATCGAAATGTCAACAAATTGCGCGCTATTTTGGTTAAAAAGGTTGGTTGCCGTCACGTTGCAGCGGAGCAGGAAAAAGCCTATATAGGTGTGTTTTCGTCACGTAAAATAAACAAGTTTTAGCAAATGAATATGAGGATCAGTACGAAAGTAATGCCTCCTAATGTTTTTTTTATTTTAAATCTGGCGTTATAGAAAATTTTGCGCTTCAATGAGCGCTGGTGTTGAGTGGTATTGTGGTCCTTTACGTGAGTTTGTCACACGAGCAGTTCGAACTGGAGTACCTATGTTTCAAATGTGCGTAACAGACAAGAAGGACGGTTGAATTTCTCATCGTGGAAGAAGTGAGTTCCAATGGCTGCGTTCAGCGGAAAAAGCGGCTCAATAATTTTTTTATTATAATTGGTTTCTACCCTTGGATCCAGGGAAGAACTAAAGGCAAGGTCCAATATTTAAAAAAAATTACTGATCGCTTGCCGAGTCGCTTTTTCTGTTGAACGCAGCATTGAAATTCATTCGCATCTCAGAAATGTTTATGTTAATATCATTTTTGAAATACAAATATTGGATCCAGGAAAGAACTAAAGGCAAGGTCCAATATTTAAAAAAAATTACTGATCGCTTGCCGAGTTGCTTTTTCTGTTGAACGCAGCATTGAAATTTATTCGCATCTTAGAATTGTTTATGTTAATATCATTTTTGAAATACAAATAGATTTCAATAGGACTCACTTCTTCCACGGTAAGAAATTCAACCACCACCCTTTGTCCGTTACGCACATTTAAAACACACGTCACTTCAAACTGCTCGTGTGACACATTCATGTAAATGATCACAATACCACTCAATATAACTCAACTAGAGACTTCAAATAACAACTCATTGAAACGCAAAATTTTATATGGCGTGAGATCGGTGAGATTCGAAAGAAAAAAATTAGCGACCATTATTTTCGTACCGACCCACGTATGTGGAATGCATTTAATTAGCTGATTTTTAAGGTTTTAAATCGTTGTTTGTGTAATTAAAACTCAAATATGTTATTATTCACGTTGAAATGTGGCAATTTTGTTGTATTTTTATAATTTCTTTGTAACTGTGTAGACAAATCATTTCAGTCTTCGTAAAAGTTTCAGTCCTTCCTCAAATATGTAAAGAATTATTTACTTATTTTCATTAAATTTTTGTCATTTTTAATATGCTTTCAAGAGTTACATTACAGGTGTCGTAACATTTTGGCTATGTCGCCCGTGTACCTATAAGAGAGAGAGATAAGAGTATAACTTTAATAATTAATTACTCGACAACCATACGGACAATTGTCTTTAACTTTGGGATGGACGAGATTCCTATAGATGAATATCCTCCATAAATTTAAACTAGTTCTTATCATATTGATTTGAGCAACCAACCTCCTTAAATACCAGGAACTATAATGCAATAACGTTAACGAATTCAGATAATTGAAACATTATCAAGAAAATATACATAAAATTAAAAGAAAATAAAATATATGAAAATAACGATGTGTTTAACCGAAAAAAATTATTTAAAGAACACCTTCAATCCCATGTGAAATCTACTATTGAAAATCTCTTATGTAGACCGCAAAAATCATGCAGACTTGTGTAATCTGACAAATGTCAAAAGTTAGTAAATGCACGAATAATTTTATTCTCGTTGCAAGAAAATTCAATAACACAATACTGATTTAAAAAAGAAACGACACAATATGCTATATATTAAGCTACATATTTATCTATATATATTTCGTTACTGCGCATTCTCTATAATTTCTTATCTATAACGGCGCTCGTAAGTAAAATTAAATATTAAATATTAAAGTCGACAATGTCTTTTTCTCTGTAAATAGAATTCTTGTGAATATTTATGACGTATAAATCGTGTAAATTTAGAATTTAAATTTAATTTTAATTTATAATAATCGCTATATAATTCAAACGCAAGTTACAACTAAAAGCATACAGAATTCAGTGAGCAGTAAAAAAGTATTTGGCATCAGTTCAACTGTAGGAATTAAAGTGGAGATCCGTGATCAGTATCCACAAAATAGTGCACGATTGCGACTCAAAATACACAAACTTTATTCGATGCTAATATCCAGCTTTAATCGTAAAAGTTTACTACGAATGACTAACCAACAATTATTTCCGACGAAACGTTCTGCAAAGAATAGAAATATATATATATATATATATACGTACGCACGATCTGTTTATTGTAAGCCATTATCCGATCGTTACGGCTGGCAATTTCGCAATTCGCAGGCGCATTTTAGAAAAGTAGTAATGCATGCGTGCAAAACTTTTCAGCTCGTACGACGATTTAAAAGAAGACGATGTCGTGCGACAAGTAAAACTTGATCCCGATTAAAAAAAAAGCGAATTATTATTCAAATAATTAAAATAAGAATAATTATTCAAATCAACTGTTCAAAAAGAGATTGACTGGAATGCGTTAAACAAAGATTCCAATTAAAAAAAAAAAGAATTATTAAAAACGATTATTTAATGCCCAATTTATTTTGTTTAATCAATTGTAAGTAGTAACCGAAAATCTGGACACGGATCATTATTTAAATCGTTCGGAAATTACGTGCTGTACTTCGTAATATAGTAGGACACATGCTGCTCAGACGGTACAACACTTTCCTGAAGCTATTTTAACATCCCTTATAGGATTAGATTAGAAGTGAGTTTCATATGCTGTGCATCGTGCGTATGTGCACGTCGGCAGTGGAAATGCTTTCGTGCGCGCGATTCCGGCCGACGAAGCATTCATCTCGCTGCTTTTCAAACTGTATCTTCGCCGACCATCGACTTCGCAAACCTCTCGCAAACCTCTGCAAAACTCACTCGCGCTTCGAGAGATTCAACTTTGTTTGGTAGATAAATGAATATGGGCAATTCCTGGATATGTATCATCACATTATCGCGTGCGTCATCCCGATTCGCGTTAATCGATTATTTATGACAGAGAAACACAATTGGGGGAGAGCTTCTTACGTACATATATATTTACAACAATAAATTTCTTTTCTACTACGTAGATTTGTAATTCTTGGTATACACACGCATATTTCTCGTACTTCAAACGATGGTACAAAGTCGATTGTCTGATGTGTTCCATCTATATACAAAATAATTCAGAAAGACGATCCATCTCGATTCGACAGAAGAACTACGATATAAATCAATGGTTAATTATACCTAACGCTATTAATTGACAAAATGATAAAATGATACATGTTAAAATTCAAATTTATATCGCAATACTTTCAAAATAAATGGTATATAACCAGGAAGTAATATTTTACTTCAAGAATTTTGATTGCACAAGTAGAGATAAACTTTACATTTCTTTTCAAAATTCAGGATAGGGTAAAGAAAGGTTATTTGAGTCAGTTAAAAAAAAAACAGCTAAAAAATTTTTCAAGACATCTAAAAATCCAAACCAAGTGGCTCCAAGAGCTTGGAGAGGAGGGGCGGGGGAGGGGGACTGAGACAAGTAAAAACATCGAATCGGCCTTAATAACAATAAA